TATATATATATATATTAATTTATGTGCTGATTTCTATCGTTCATGTATGCGATAGTTAAACACGTATGGCGACTTGTTATGACAGCATGACGATAACTCGTACATTTGCGCCTTCTAATTTTTACGAAGGATTTTTTCAACAACGGTAGTAGGTATAAGAATTTTAGAATAACGTTTTTATTCGTCACAAAAAATTGATTTAAAATAACCTAAAATAACAGTCACTCACTTTTTAATCTGAAAAATATAAATTTGCAAAGTCAAGCATTTTGGTTAACGTGACGATTACTGGGCCAACTACCTTATATGTGTATAAAGTGCACCGTCCAATAAGGATTAATATTTATATATTTATCAATGCAATTTATAATTCAAATAAAAATCTTCTCATTTTATTTGAATTATTTTTTTTAAAGTCTACTTCTTACTTAAATAATTTTTTATTCAAATTTTAAATTGCCGCCAAATTTTTTGAATTTATTTTCAAAAATATAATCTAAAAAATATACAATTTATATATTTTTTTTATTTTGTTAAAAAAAAAACCCGTAATACCTATCCTTAATATAAGATTTAGTTTGAATTCAGGATTCGTGACCACTTATTGTGAATAATATATAGAAATCGAGTTTCTTTCTCTCTTATCCCCCAATTGAATGATATTTCCCAAAGCTAATATAAACTGTACTAATAAATATTTTACGAATATACACAAGGGAAAATATGGGAGTGCTGATATGTATTGATATGAGCAGCAAACAGCTAGAATATCCCACTAGGTATTATTTTTTAACGACGGATTCAATGGTCAATTTGAAGTTGGTTTTTATGTGCAGTAAATATATTAAAGAAAATCATTATTTGTGAAACATTTCCAACTTGTATCACGTATTTTTTATCACTAAGTTTTACGCAAGTGTAGAAAAATAAAAAAATTCCATTAAATAACAAATTATTTCCATTGACCAAAAAAATTGTCATCAAAAATGATATAAGAGGAGCAAAAAGTTTTATCATAACAATTTTTTCGAGATTATAAACACGGAGAAAGGAAATATCAAAAATTTTATTATAGAGTGACATTAACAAAACGACACTGTTCTCGTTTTAATTGATATTGGGAGATATAAATTTTAGTCAAATCGAACAATCTTTCTTTCCAACGTAATTAATACGCAACGAAGCTTTTACACTGCGCACTCGATACAAATCAGCATGCCTCTTGTTAAAGTTCTACGATGATTGAATAGCTATGCTTGTAAAAAAAAACGTTCAATCTATTTTGATACATTTCCATTGCAATAAAAAAATTTTTATTAACGCGTACAATATGATATTTAAATTGTCAAACTAAATATATACCATTTATATCAATATACTATAATAATAAAAATATTCAAAAATTTTAAAATAATATTTTCGACTGTAGCGGGTTTGTACCAATCTAAATTGGATTAATGATGTTATATGCTCTACTTTTATTGGTACAGCATGTAACGTTAACCAATAGTAGAGCATTAATTCAACCAAGGTCGATGTAAACTCGGTATATTCAAAAACGATATAATATTAAAACTCTTCGTATAATCTCTTTATATAATTTAGCACACGATAGTTGCGATTATAGTGGCAGTAAATTCTTTTGTGTAAAAAAAATTAATATATTGTGTTAAATTAAATACTAATTTTTATTGTATTGATATACAACAAAATTATATTTGCCGATCATTTTCAAATGTACATTATATATATATTATAACTTTTAAACGCAATTATAAAACCATCTCATATTAAAAATATTAAAATATTAAAAATATTTGAATATTTAAACAATTTTTCGCTATAAGCAGACTGATAAACTCAATTCACTTTAGAATAATTCCTGTGCTTATCATATTTTATGAATTATCCTGGTTGTATAATATAATAAAGCTATTCGAGTTACCACTTTTTAAATCAAAATAATGCAAGTCGAGTTTCTAGCTGTAAGCTAAACAGGTATTCACCATTACATCACGCATCTTGAATAATTCATTGCTTGAAGCCACCACAGTGTAACCCTTAAATGTATTCCGCCATTTAGCAATGATGCTAATTCTCCATGCACACCTATTTTCAACCATTTTTTACGCACCTTATTTGAATTGTTTGAAAGATAGCATCACCAAATTATATAATTTTTTCAATTACTTTACAAATTATTATACTTTAAAAATACTGCATAAACAAAAATTCCTTAAAAAATCTTCTTTACTAAATAATTTTAATA